CAACACTATGCTCCATCCCCCAAATAGGAAGTGACTTGGTGTAATACCTACTCAAATGAAGCAAACTTCTGCATCTCACTGTTGCTATTAATAATTTTCCAGAATCTCTTGTGCTAATTTTAGCAATTGTATCCCCTGAGTTTTATAATTTTAGGTTATAATATCCCTTCTGCACCGAATCTGTGGTTCTGTATCCATACTTACAGTAACCAAAGATCAACCCTGGTTTAAAATATTAAATGGAAAATTCCAGAGAAAAATAATTTATTAATTTGACATTACACATAGTTCCTATCACACCACACTGCCCAGAACATAAATCAGCCCTTCATCTAGTATGTCCACATCACATATGCTATGCATACGCATATGTAGGAGGTAGCGTGGCCAGCAGTAGAATCCTGAGATGTGGTAGTACTTGGGTCGAGTATCCCTTAACTGCTGGTCTAATGCTACACATGAGGCTCCCATCCCTCACATCACTTCATCTCCTCATGTAGGCATTATCTTGTCTCAGGTCATCACCAGAGAGGTGAGTGGAGCACAATAAAAATTGTGTGAAAGAGAAGCTACATCCACAAAACTTTCATTACAAAGTATTGTTATAATTGTCTTATTTTATTATTTGTTATTGTTGACCTGTTACTGTGCCTAATTTATAAATGAAGCTTTATTTTCAAGTGTGTAGGCATAAGACAAAAGATAAGACTTCTAGGGTTTTGGTTAGAGGCATCCAGTGGGGCTCAGGGAATGTATCCTCTTTGGTTAGGGGCTTGGGGAGCAATGTATTTACAGGAAATTCTTACATGTCTTTTCAGCGGCATCCACGATCTTAGCTAGAACATCTGGCAACATTTTTGAGTAGGACTTTGGTTTTTTTATCTTTATCTTCCTTTTTGGAAACATCCTCGATGAGCTTTTTTCTGCTTTGTTAGAGTGGTGAGTGATAGGGTTTCTGAGACCCGTAAGAACTCAGGGTGCAGGACTCTCCACACACTGCCAGCCTGGGCACCAACTTCAGTTTGGAGTTACACATGGCTTTTTCATGCTATGACTGTTGTTCCTTGTCCACCTCTGTTGAATGATATCAACTGGTATCTTCCCTGTCTTCCTCAATCCTTTTTGTATATAGTGTTTAATATAACCTTATGTTTGTTAGTGATTCTTTCAATATTGGTTTTCTTGATTAATGTTTATGTGAGACATTTTCTCCCTAGAATATAGTTGCCCTATTGGTTCTTCATGGGAGCACTGGCAGGGAGACTGCCTGATCGCTAACTTGTGCTGCAGCCCAGGGGTCTGTACCTGGTCCTTCCAGGAGCCATTGTTCTCAAAGTGGAGCTAATGGATCATAGCCAGATGTCTCCCTCCAGGCTCATACACTCACACACACAACCTTTGCAAGGTGATTGGATTGTGAGGGCCTGTAGTGGCTTCCTGTACAAAGCAGAACCTGTTTAGATGAAGCAGGTCACTGAGCGTGACCTGGAAGGCTGCAAAACCTTTCCTTGCTTCTCCGTTGATGCTTTTCGCTTCTTTGATACCAAGAAATGAGCAGCTGTACTCCTCTGCTATGCTGTCTATAAAAACTATACAAGTTTTCCCTCAAAGAGAATCATTTCTTAGGGCTGGTGAGATAGCTCAACAGTCTAAAGTGCCTGCTTAGGCAAGCTTAGGCAAAAGCTCTGAGACCTTGGTTGGATCCTTGGCAAAATCTGCCATGCAAGCCCTGCCCCCAGGGTGGGCAAGCTGGCCACAAAATAATAATAATAATAATAATAATAATAATAATAATAGCAACAACAAAGAGAGATGACAATAAAAATAAATAATACATCAACCACTGTTTTTCAGTTATTATTGTTTTGAAAATCTATAGCATAATGTATTTTTGTATGTTACCCTCTTTCTTTGTTTCTGATCTTTGTTCTTGCTTTTGTTTTTACTCTTCAAAATAAAATAAAATTATAATTAAGAAAGAAGAATCATTGCTTAGATTTTATAGTTTTATTTTTAATTTAGTTGACTCAGCCCTTAGAATTTACTTTAGTGCATAATTATAGCTATGATAACATTTTCATTAGAATTTTTTGTTCTTATGTAAAGGCACGAGGGCACTGCACACAGTTGGCTGCGTTCTTACGTTACTTTCTGCTTTACACCGTGCTCTGAGAGCAGTGGGTCCGCCAAGTGCACTGAGTAAAAGACTGGTTCCTTCTTGGAGAGGAGCCAATAGCTTGGCTTATCTAAAGGTCTTCATTTAAAAGGATCTTTTATGGTCCACAGTTTCATGTTATTTTACTTTTAAATATTTTATTTACTTATTATTTGGTACAGGGTCTTGCTGTACAGTTTGGACTCACAGTGATCCTCCTATCTCAGCCTCTCCAGCACTGGGATTGCAGGCCTGTACTGCCATGCCTGGTTTCGGTGGTAGGTTTGGCGTGGGGCTGGCTTGCAGCATCAGGGATCGATCCAGGTCCAGGCAGTGCCTGAGAGCTCTGAGCTATCTTCCTGGCCTCGCAGTCTCATTTTAGAACTTGATATTCTTTCTTTCTCTTTCTTTCTTTCTTTCTTTCTTTCTTTCTTTCTTTCTTTCTTTCTT